CAGAAACGAACAATGATGCTAGAGGCATATAGGAATATACCAAAACAATTATTTAAAGATATCAGTCATGTGTATAAGTATGACTTTGAGTTGTTTGGTATAAAAAAACAATTGTTTGATGATGATTAAACATTGTCACTGGGCTAAGAAAATAACTCAGATATACAATGGCAAGTTTGTTATTGTGTTGCTATTGATGTCTTATTGTAGCCTAATTTTCATTATCCCTTAAAAATAAATAAATACACACACGCACACGCGCACGCGCACGCGCGCGCGCACACACACACACACACCACCGGAACAACATCGTTTTCAATTGACGCATTACAAAGCTCCAAGCCTTCCGTTAAAGTTCTGAAAATGTGTGCTGTACAATCAGCACATAATCTGACTTATAATAACATCTATATTGTGTTTCTTTGTTTTCTTAGAAGCATTTAAATTGTCAACTTTGCAAATATTTAGTTGGGAAAAAACAAAATCCCAAAAAGCGCACAAAACGATAAAAATGAAATTATAACAATCTCGGTTTGATTGAGCCTGTTCAATGTCGGAAATTACAAGGTACCATCAAACCCCATAGCACCTGATTGCGCATTTTACATCTGTCAAACATAAAGATCGTGGAATGTAGAATGAAAGCATCTGTAGATTTTTTGATACTGCTGTTGCCATGAACAAAAATGTGACAAGTCTGTGCAATTTCTCGAAAAATGACCAATTGTCCCAGTAAGAGATTGCATGCACTCTGAAAGAAAAAACAATGGACGGAACTAAATAAAATGGAATTTTGTGAGGAAATGCGATGTTATGAAAATAACGTCAAATGACAATTTTAATAATCAGACACCATATTCTGAGGATGATTATGAATAGTCAAGTGGGCATACTTGAACCACCCAACTAAACGCCTGATAAACAGCAGAGCTATTTCTGCCTGAGGTATACGATAAATTCCTCTATTGTTATTTTCTATTTTATTGTGCACAATTTAAGTATCACAAAGGTCAAGTGTTTAATTATTACATATTTATTCGTGATAAGTTTCCGAGCAGGTTGATACGCAAGATCCTGTATCGCATAAAGCTTGAGTCTGTAATCCATTGATATATATATTCACTTCCGATGTATCTCCAATCAATTTTGGGTCTTGTTTCTTTGTGCCATCAGTTTGACCCATAACATAGGCACCTACAAGTTTAAAGAAGGGCAATTGCGTGCTAAGTGTCCTCTTCCTCTACAGTTGTAACACTGAGGTTGAAAATTGTTATAAGACATAGGTCTGTTTGGAGTATATCCAACACCACTTCTTAGTCCTCTCATTGGTCTTGATCCCCTTCCATCATTCAAGTATCTGTAATGTCTTGGTCCTCTATTTCTGATTGCTCCTCTGAATCGGGATTGGTAGTTCTGTTGTCTGGGCTGATAATAATTATTTCCAAATTGTTGATGATTTTGTTGAGGTGTTCCATAATTGTAATTACTTCCATGAGAAAATCCTTGTGTTTGTTGTGCCTGTACTTGTTGATTAATGGTAAATTGTTGTTGTTTCACTTCTTGTTCTATTTTATCTATTTTAGCATTCATCTTTTCTAGAAGTTCTTTTGTTGTATCTGATGATGTTTCTTTATCCTCCTTTTTATTTAATGAATTGCATTTAGTTTTGGTTGTTGACTGTTTATTTGTGTTGATGTCATTCTCAATTCTCCTAAGTGCAATTTTGAATTCCTCAAAATCCTCTATTGTCTGATATTCAAATTTAGCCCACTGTTTTAAGTCAGGTGTAAGTCCTTGGTAGAGAATACTTTTCAATTTCTTTTTTCCTTCAGTACCATGTATGGCATCCATCTCCACAGCCTTCAGAAATAGTTCTTCAATCCTTGAAGTATATGATGTGATTGTCTCCCCTGGTTGTTGACAACAATCATAAAGCTTCTTCATAATAGATTCCTGTGTTTCAATAACACCGAAGGTACTCTCAAAAACATGTATGATATCAGACACCTTGGCTCCTTCACCAGTTCTCCTCAATAAGTCTGCTGCCTCTCCTTTACAAGATCTCCGAATGCCCTGAAGTATCGCTTCTTCACTGTGAAATTTTTCCTTCAGTAAACATCTAAGTTCATATTTCCATGTCTGAAATGAAACTTCTCCTTTTCCAGTTTCTCCATAGAAAATAGATAATCTTGGTACTTGATGGCTTAATAGCTTTGTTTCAGGCTCATCTCCAAAATGTCTCATATAATGCACAAGGTCAGCCGCCGATTCTACTTTAGGTATAGTATGTAATTCCCTAAATGCAGCTATCATTTTCTTTTCATCCTCCGATAATTCCATCTTGTTGAAATTTGTTTTCAATATTTCACTTCAAGTTCAAGTGTGTATATCAGTTGTAATGTTGTATAATCCTCTTTCAAAGTAATGTGAACACTAAATATTCACGATAAAAGATAAAACTTCACGAATTACTATAAATTGAAAATGTAAATAACACTCAATTTATAATAATTATAAAATGATTTGTGAATTTGTTTAATTTTTGTTTCACAAATTTCTCCGCAAAGAAAACACAAGTTTTCTTAACTCACGATGAGATTTAAATCTCACGCTAAGTCACGTATTTCTGTTTCAAGTCTTTTCCGTGTAAACAATTCTTTTCATTCAACACAAATCTTTCACAATATTAATAAAATAATACTGCGAAAGAATTGTTCACGACAAATATCACGAGGAATATGCAATATCACGATCAGATTTGTAAATAAATCCAATGAGATATAACAATTTCTTTTTTTTTAAAAATATTATTGAAATAAAATTTTAATTCAACAATATTGAATAAATAAAATGAAAATGATGTATCACGAAAATATCAAGAGTCGTGACACAAACACCTTTTACAAAAATCACGACAGTATATAACCATGTGATTTTCACCAAGTTGAATAACTAATCACTATGACTAATACATTAGCTAAATATTTAATTATTATTATATTTAACTAATGAAATTAATTCATATGATTATTTCCTGAATCTCATGTAATTTTCACTTGAAATTGTTAATTCACACCAGCATAGGGTTATATAACCAAATAATCTTCATTAAGTTATATGACACAAATAATAGTTATATGACACAAATTATATATCTTTCAAAGTTAAAAAGCTGCAATATTTTATTATGTCAAATTAATTAACGTTAAATTAAAAAGAATTGAAAGAGTTAATAATAAATTACTTCAAATGAATAAAATAATTTATTCAAATAAAGTAGAATGTTGTTGTAATTCAACAATCTTAATCAAGCAAATGTACAAAATTTATTCCAATAATGTACATGTAAATAAACAACACCCTTAAAGTTTTCTTTTAAACTATTATTCTTATTAAAGTATATTTCCTTATTAATAAACAAACCTAGATTTAATGTAAGAATTATTAATAATATCAATTAAATCAAATAAAGTTTAAAGAACACCAAGTGTATTTATCAAATTCTGCTGAAAATTCTATGTATTGTATCAATACACACAGTTATAAACTTTATGACCTAGATTTATGAATCTCAAATCATGTGACCAATACCTGTATGCAAATTACTATATCTCAACCAATGATATCACTGAGCCATCATCAGGTGGTCAGGTCAAAGAGGTCAATGTAAACTCAATCCAATGAAAATCTGTAAATAATCATGTGACTAGGTCACAGAGGTCAAATAAGCACATGTAAATTTTAAACAGCTGTAACTGTAAATAAACCTTTATGTACTGTCTGCTCACTTATTTTAAGCTGAAAATAGAAGTTTATTGCAGAATTCCTGAAATCAAAGATTTATTATAGTAATCTCTGAAAGAAAAGGTCAAATTATAATGTATATATCAAATTATCAATGCTGTTCAACAGTGAACATACATGTATGAACTCCCAAATGTAAACAACCACAGAATGTAAACAATTGTCAAGTATAAACAATGGAATCAAGTAGGAAACACAAGATAACCAGCAACAATTCCAATCAATGAGAGAGATCCTGCCAAAGAGTAAATTGTTATTGAAACACTCACAGACAAGATTTTTTTTACAAGAGAAAAATAACCTTTTTTTAGACAAGGCACCCAAATTCAGACAATTCAACAAGGAAAATTGAACAAATGGAAGGTTGGGAAAGGGTAGACTGTCAAAATGATCTTTGTGATTGTTACATTACAATGCAAAGAAGAAAGAATAGATCTATTAATTGTGCCAAATGCTTTCTTGTGAAAATTAATATGTTATAAACCCGCAACCAGTGACAAGTGCTGTACTTACATTGCCTCAGACTCGCACTTACAATATCACACTTGGTTTATAAATATACAAATAAAATTTCTTCTTGATCAGTAATAATCAGTATTTACCAATTTATATTTTTACTTTTTTTTTTTTAATTACAAAAATAATTTTTTTTGCAGATACTTGTCAATTAAATTCTTTACCCAAGAAAATGAAAATTTATAAAATTTCTCAATAAATGCTGATCAAGAGAAAAAAATTACATTTCATGTCGACACACCAACTGTTAAACCTTTTTTTGCAGTAACATCAAAGTACCATTACTACCAATTTGAACCACAAGTACTCAAAATTTCTTGAAGTAACTAAATAATGTCAGTGTCAGTTTTCACTATCCTGTCGGTTATCCTCTTCTGTTAGTTGTTGGGTTGATCTAAAATGTTGGTTGTTGAGTTGATCTAACGTTCTGGAAGTCGATCCATGGACAAATACTTTAACATCAGGAAGATCAATATTTCTCCAATGGTTTGACGTAGACGTGTAAACGTATAGACTCCTCTCGGCATTTAAACACTTGTATAGGTATCCTGAAGCTTCTACGCTTTAATATTACAAGTAAAAACTATTCTCAAATGGTGAAATGTTTTTAAAATATATAACAGTTCTGTTCTTCAAATTAAAGATAAATATTTTCTCTGATGTATGTAATGAATTAATACGCTTGAAATTACACAAGTCTTTAAATGGTTTATGTTATCCTGATTTAAATAATCGTGCTTGAAAAAAATTTCTGTCTCGTCGTGGTCGCGAATTCTGTAACCCTGGTTCTTAATAATCTTTTCATTATAAAGACAATAAATTCCATCAGAGTTCAGATAGTTTTCTATTCCTTACAGGATAACTCTAACATTCTTATCACTCATACAGTTTATATTTACATTTCACCAATTAATTAATCATCGCTCTCATAGAAAGTATGCATGTGTATACAGGAGTATATACATATCACCCTGAAATATACAATAGCATATATTTACTAAACAATATAACGATTTCTTAAAATGACATATAGCATTGCAATATTATATTGGTAAATGTTTTCAAAGAATAAATTAAATTGTCATTCGTACTTGTGGTTCGATACCTAATGAACGTACTTGTGGTTCGATGATCCTAAATGAATTAAAATAAAAACATTTCATATAATCCTTTGCACATTTAACAATGATATATGTAAAAAATAAGAAACAATAAGACAATTAAGAATTACTTACAGGATCAATGGGATCCTTGGTATTTCCACTTAAACATACATCACACACTCCCCATTCTGGTGTTTGTAACTGCATGCTGTGAATGTAAAATTATTGTTAGCAATAGTGACAAATAGAATAGATCATCTGACAGTCAAAGGACAAAGGGGTCAAAGACGCGGGGTTTGGCGGGAAATTCTTCAGAACCGACTGAACAATAAATTCAACCGAGAAATAAACAAATAAACAAAACCGTTTACAATTCAATGGCCAATACAGAGATAAACAAACTTACAATACTGAAACCTTCTTCCAATAAAATATAACCATGAATTTAAAGAAGCAAAAGGTGACAAAAGCTTCACGCATCTACCTCCGCCAACAACTGAAAAAAATGACAAAAGCGCTCCGAAAGAAACTGCGCTAAACTCTAGATACCCTACTGTACGGTAAAAAACCAATACCATACCATGTCACTAAATTTCCGACCTGTCACATTATCACTGCTTGTCAACTGTTACAAAAATGTAATAAGCTGTTCCTGCTTTGCTTAGATTTTAACTTTGCATGAACAATCCTTCTCAAAACTGGTTCACCTAAAGAATGCAATATTAATGCTTTCAAATATTTAATTGCCATAGATTATTATAATTAGGAACATAATTTATTGACAATACATAAGACAGATAAATACTTACTGCTGTAAATACCCCTTCTCTTCTTTCTGTTCATGCTTTTTTCAGTAAATTGATAATTGAAACAAACGTTATACGAGTAGACTATGCAATTCAAATTTATAGGAAAAAATCTAACATGTCATTTTAAAAAAAATGGCTTTATTGGAATAGGGCAATTAATATGAGAATAAAGTGCTGACAGTAGATTACTTTTCCCCTTTTTAGATGAACATTTCTTGAAAAGACAATACATTAAAACTGAGGTTAATTCATCTAAACATTTTTATATCATTTAAACACTAACTTCAAATAGGTTCATAAAGAAGAACCAAATACAAACATCTTTTTTTCGTTCCAATGGAATCATAATAAAACCAGTAACGAGTAGTTCAATGATGTCATGCATACATGTATATAGCATAAATTTTTATAAAATGGCTAACAATCCATAATATGACGTTCCAAACTCGAGTAAATTTTTGAATAAGTGTTCATAGAAACAACTAAATTAATGTACAATAAAAAATTATAACTATACATGTGGTCCAAATTTAAATAACTTTACATCAAAGAACAAGAAAGTATATCAAAAGTTAATTATCTAGGTAAGCTAGAGCTGATATAGAAGTTTAATTGTACCTCTAAAACTATGCATGTCGTCCAAATTACAAAGCCGTATATCAAAGGACAAGAAATAAGGCTATTAGGTCAAAATCTACGTCAGCAAATCAACATCTTAAACTTTGCACATGGTCCATACACCAACAACTTTAAAGTTATGATCAATGTTATAGTTTGCGGACAGCAAAAGCAACGGCGACATGACTGTGAAAATACCTCAATTTCTTAAGAAACCATATTCATACTAATAAATACCTTCAACTGTGGAATTACTGTCAACTCCTTCCTCTCTGCATTCTTCTACTGATATATTAATTGAAATGTTAAAAAATGATATAGAGGATATTGAATGAGTGTAGGTTAAATAATAAATTCAATTAACGAAAAGAAAAACGTAATCTATGCGAGCCTCGGGTGAGCAAATTGTTATTTTATACAACGGGTTCACTAAATGTAGTAATGAAGTTTCATTTAATAATATTCGTTTTTATCACAAACCTAAAATAAGAAATGCAAAAAACTAAAAATAATCACATTCTCATCAATGCTCATTTAGCATGATGCTTACATTAAGCTTTTCTTTAAGCTATGTATTATTATATGATAAAGCTTTCAAAATTTCTTGGTGGCGAGTTTTAAAATGTTTGAAAAATAGGCTGCATTTAAAATTTACATGATGATGACAAGGACTATGCGGCACTTTTTATAAGAAACAGATGAGCTTATAATTGATAGACTTACATAATGTGCATTTGTTTATTAATGAAAATACAATTGATTACTTTAAAATATACAAATTCATCATTGTATTAATTCATCATGTATTAAAAACCCTAACCCTATGAATTATAAAAAATTACCTTCATCGAAGTTCAATCTGGTTTGAACCTCCCCTTCATGAACTGTAACATAATCTTCCACTGCAATGTTGGAATTGATGTAATTAACCAACTGCTTAAAATATAATGTGTCTATGTGCCCTATTACTGCTTTGACCTTTACTTAAAGAAAAGGCAAATTAATTTGGAGTCAAGGTTTTGATAAACTTAAAGTCAGTGGAAAGCTCACAAATGTTAGTATGCTAAGTGACGGGTTAAAATTAAAACCCAGTTGTTGAGACATTTGTTTTAATGCATTATGTTTGCCTTTCTTCAATGAATTCCGAATGATTGAAATATTATGAAAATACTTGATAATAATTTATTATTATGTTATTGCAATTTCACTCACACTAGTTGTACGATTCATTAAACATTACTTCAAATGAAAACAAAACAAAAGGTGAGAATATGGATGATTAACAAGAATATGGGTGATTAAAAGCCTAGCTATAGATGCATGTTAATTGCCTTTCTTCTAGGAATCGTTTTTTCTATATATATACCGGGGATATACGGCATTTATTTTCGAGGTATACAGGGTATACTGAATCGTATTTTCAATATTTACGGGGGATATATGGAACCTAATTGTCGAGCTCTACAGAGGGTAAACGAATCTGTATTTAGAATTAAAAACCAAATCGAAAAACAACAGCTTTTATTAATTCATAAACTTATAAACAAAATGCACATATATTAAAGAAATTAAACATGTCTAGAATACGGAACAACGAACTATTACGTAGACAAATTTTTCTCCAGATATTACAATCTCCTCGGCATGTGTGTATCTGAAAACAAATGTTTACATTCCTGTTAAAATGAAATAATTATCTTCACTTTCTGATGGCCATTCACAAGTATTTTATTGAAGCGTATATATACAAAATTATTTTGTAATGAATGAAGTGGTCATTTATAAACAACCTTTTGCACACGATTTAACTAACGTTATTCATCTTTATTAGTTGAACAGTTATATACATGTACATGGGATGCCGGTTTGTATCACACGACCTCTTTTCTTTGTAATGAAAACATTTATAAATATTGGCATCACTTGTACGAGTCGTTTTGGTAACACACTTTTTAAAACTGTACAGTAGCTATCACTAGCCGCACATGTTCAAACCCCGTCAGAGGCAAGTCGTTGTTTCTTTGAGCAAGAAACTTTACACTCATTGCTCAGTACTGGTTGGTTCCAGGAACGGATTTGAAAGTGTGTCTATAAGCTTATAGCTTCCTACACACTCGAACTAAAATAAACTATGTATAAACCAAAACTGTACAGATATGCGAAATGTGTCGCTACTAAGAGGTAAAAAAATATATACTTTCGATCTGGTTGTACAATGATATTCAGTAAAAAAAGGCTGAATACCCAAGTGTAATACTTTTCATCAATTATACTCAACTGATTTGTTTTAATTTTGATTGTTATTTCATTTTCATTGTTTAAAAAATCTCATCATTGACAGCAACGAATGAATACCTTTAATCACGAAATATGCAATATTATAATGTGACCAAGTAATGCTTATCGCTGTCGCACGTAGTAATTTAAAAGAAAAATCCTATGTCACCTTTATGGCACGTAGAAATAACAATGTTATTTAATTTAAAAAAAAAATAGAAATCAAAATCAGTATATCGGCACTAATAAATGGTCGTTTGTTCTAAGTCAACGCAACCCAATTTTTATGTTTGTCGTTTCATTAATAGCTTGTTAAAAAATGCTGGCAATCTTCTATTAATTCAATAAAGATGAAAAGCGTAAATTATAACGTGCAATAATTATCATCAACATACTAAAAGTAATTTAACTGTATCAAATTTACAATCATATGTTTTAGGAAAGAAAAACACTTGAATAGAATAAGGTCACAGACATTATACATGTATATTAAACCATAACGTCAATTAACATGTGTTCAAGTTGTTTCTAATAGTTTATATATTTGATTCTTGCACACATTACATATGATGTTCTAGCATTTACAAATGTGCTTGGAAATGCTTATTCATTAACTGACGTCATTTCATGGCGTGTGGCATTATTCCGCCTAAGTATTTATTCTAATTAGATATACAAGAAAAAGAAACACTGGTTGAAAGTACAGACTGAAATGTCTAACTCTGGGTACCTCTTTAGCTGTAACTCTACAGAGCCACGCTTTCAAGATTTTCATAATTTACAGTTTGTTTACAGTTTGTCCGCGTAATTGTCTTATTATATTTACAAATACAACACTGTTTCATTATTTTAATGAAAATGTGAACTTACACCAATGTTACTTGCGACTTATTAGTATGCGTTCATACTCATTTTCGTCTACCATGTTGCAATAAACAGGCCATAGCTGAATTTCTGCCATGATAATGTGCACATCCCTAAAAAATCATAATATGACTTAAGCATAAGGAGGACATTTGAAAAATACTTTTCATAATATATCACGTGTGCGAACATATTGATTAATGGGAACGCGTTTCACTTTTATGTGCGTAGGTATTACCTAATATTTGCGTATGCGTTAATAACTACGTTGCATATGACATATCAGATGCGTTGCATGTTATGTTCGTGCGTGCATACGTGCGTGCATGCGTGCGTGCATGTGCATTTTACCACTTAGCTTAATATGAAATATAAGTCAGAATATGAAATATCGAACAATTCGCTATGTACAAAGGCATGTCGGTCAATAAGGTTTTACTTGCGTATAAACATCTCTCGGACAAGTAATGAAATTTAACATCACCGGTTTTTAAATAGGCGTGTGTTTGTGACCCATGCGGTATCGCGTTTTTCTCTTTTCCCAATCTTGAAAACTCAAGTAAAAAGTTTATATTTGGAAAATCGTGATATTTAATTCTAATTTATCAAATACAAAAAATTGGATGCAAATGTTTGTAAATTCAGTACTTGTATTAGAAATCTAAAATCTGGAAATTTCTAAACTACGGAAACAACAAAAATATCAAATGAAAACCAGAGTTGTGTGTAGTGAATTACGAGTTTTGTCGTAATTTTAAACACGGTGTCATTTTCTCTTTTTGCCTTTATGGGAGAACATAATTGTGCCAGAGGTATGATGTAATAACGAATTTAAGCTGGCATACACTCAGGAAAACATTCTTTAGCTCAGCAGTGCAAAGGGAAAAATGGACTAAACCAACCCAATCACTTCAAGAAGTATTTACGAAACTAATACTCGCCAGTTACTCTATACGGTAATGAATGATTGTGCGGTGTCACTACGACGCAGTTACTTCCCTTTGAGCGGGCACACAGACATACGACAAACGGATGCTAGGCGTTCAACATGGAACTCGTACTGATATTACTCTCAGTTTTTAGGGATTTCTATCCGATATCTAACCTTATTGATCTAAGAAAACTTATCTTTTTGTGTTAAGCAAGTTAAGCAAATTTTTGTTTATGGTTTAACATTACATTATGCAAAACCTGCTTAATCTAAAGGCTCTTATTCCGACATGTTTCATGTTCTTGGAAAATGTAAATTATCTCTATATCTACATGACTTTTAGAAACAGGTTTCTTTCCATCTAAATAATCTTGGAAAATAATAACCAAAAAGGCAGTACAGAAACAATGACTATGTACGAGGACATCTAGAGTAGAGCACGATGACGATATCAGGCTATTTTTATATATACATTCCACATACGACTACAGCTTAATCTGGGTTTTCAAAGGCTCTACTCTAGATGTCCTCGTACATAGTCATTGTTTCTGTACTGCCTTTTTGGTTATTATTTTCCAAGATTATTTAGATGGAAAGAAACCTGTTTCTAAAAGTCATGTAGATATAGAGATAACTTACATTTTCCAAGAACATGAAACATGTCGGAATAAGAGCCTTTAGATTAAGCAGGTTTTGCATAATGTAATGTTAAACCATAAACAAAAATTTGCTTAACTTGCTTAACACAAAAAGATAAGTTTTCTTAGATCAATAAGGTTAGATATCGGATAGAAATCCCTAAAAACTGAGAGCAATATCAGTACGAGTTCCATGTTGAACGCCTAGCATCAGTTTGTCGTATGTCTGTGTGCCCGCTCAAAGGGAAGTAACTGCGTCGTAGTGACACCGCACAATAATTCATTACCGTATAGAGTAACTGGCGAGTATTAGTTTCGTAAATACTTCTTGAAGTGATTGGGTTGGTTTAGTCCATTTTTCCCTTTGCACTGCTGAGCTAAAGAATGTTTTCCTGAGTGTATGCCAGCTTAAATTCGTTATTACATCATACCTCTGGCACAATTATGTTCTCCCATAAAGGCAAAAAGAGAAAATGACACCGTGTTTAAAATTACGACAAAACTCGTAATTCACTACACACAACTCTGGTTTTCATTTGATATTTTTGTTGTTTCCGTAGTTTAGAAATTTCCAGATTTTAGATTTCTAATACAAGTACTGAATTTACAACATTTGCATCCAATTTTTTGTATTTGATAAATTAGAATTAAATATCACGATTTTCCAAATATAAACTTTTTACTTGAGTTTTCAAGATTGGGAAAAGAGAAAAACGCGATACCGCATGGGTCACAAACACACGCCTATTTAAAAACCGGTGATGTTAAATTTCATTACTTGTCCGAGAGATGTTTATACGCAAGTAA